CAACTGTCAAAAAGTGTTATGTGATTTCTGATATAAAAATCTCATCAAATGCTAATATTAATACTCTTAATGATCATAATCTTTTTATTACTTTATTTTTCTTTAGGAGATTTTTTTTATTTGCTTCAACTTTTTTCCCAAAGTATTTAAAGAGACCAATTTAAGAACAATTCCCAAATCTAATTATGCACCAGTAACACTTTTCTGTTTTTAAAACTCAGGTCCCCATTATGTACTTTCCAATGTAATTATGTTTGGAACCAGGATTCCCATAATGGGTGAAGGAAATTAAATGGGGAAAGCTTAAGAAGAATCCTTTAGTGTTGATTTTAAATTGTCCATTGAAAAGGGCCGAGAAACAGCACACCTGGCTCACAGTCGTTTCCTTTCTCTGAAAGAAATCAGAACTCCTTAGAGAAAACGCTGATACCAGATGTGCAAGCAAAGTAAGTATAAGATGAGCATACAACACCTTATGTAAGAAAGCAAACAAGTGTTCACAAACTAATAAGAAACGGGGGGTTTCCACTGAATAAATTTGGAACACTCTGGGTATCAAGAAGAATGATGGTAATAGTATATTAACGAATAGAATTGAAAAATATCCCTGGGTCTATAATGACACTAAAAAATGGGGGGAGGGTGGCTCTTGCAAAGAGAAGAATGTCAGCTAATAAATGTAGAATGATAAAATAAGAAAATCACAGTTCTGCAACCATCAGTGTAGTAATTCGGGCAAGGATCTTCAATGATCCCCCATCTCTACAATGCTAAAACCATTGCATGAAAGTTTATTAGGATCTGGATACTAACACACTCACTCTCACAGTACCACCTTCCAGACTACTTATTATTTATAAAGGGGAAAAAGGTACTTTTATAACATATACTTCTGGCTGACACCACTCTAACCAAGTTCCCAAACTCAAAACAGGCCAAACTGGTATGTGTCTTCAGGATATGATATCATAGAAAATATATAACATCACCTGCCTAAATCCTCTGGCCAAAATATTTCTCAAACTAATCTTAAGGAAACAATCAAACACATATGGATGGTAGTCTATGAAACAACTGACTTGGATTCCACAAAAAATACAAATGAATAAAAAACCAGGGGAGGTAGGGACCATTAACAATTGGAAGTAACTAAGAGACATTACATTCAAATATTATACAATGCAGGATCTTAATTTGGACCCTGGATTTAAAAAAAAAAAAATTGAAACAATTGGGGCAATTTGTATATGGATAACATATTAGATTATTATGTAGCAATATTATTTGGGGGGTATTTTAATGGTATTGCAGTTATGTAGAATGTCCTTGTGTCTTGGGAGATATATGCTGAAATATTTAGGGGTAAAGTATCATGGTTATCTGCAACTTCCTTTCAAAATTATTCTGCAAAAACAAAAATAGCAAAAGCTAAAAACTGGTGAATATAGGTAAAGGTATATGAGAAATTATGTACTATTCTTTCAACTTTTCTGTATTTTGAAATTTTTCAAAATAAGCTGGGGGCAACAAAAGAAATGCAACTATTTCAACACACCTGGTTATTCAGCAAGTAATGAGCCAAAAATATAATGAGCAATTCTGAATTTCAGCTTATAATAAAATTTACAAGTTCTTGAAAGTAACTTACTAAAAAT